GGCTATTTTTAGAGCGGTCAAATTAAGGAAGATGAGATAGATGTGAAGTGATTTTTATCTCCTATTATCTTCAACGGGCTGCTCCGCTGGCTGTATGTGATCTGGAAACTGATCTCCCACGTTGACTGAGATAATGCTTCTGTTGCAGATTTAAAATACATTTAAAAGAGACAATTCAACTGTACAACTGTCATATAGAAGACCGCAGTCAAGAAATTTTACACTTAACCTTAATCTTGGAGCCATCTATATAGCCATAACTGCCGTAACTGTCAATTTACGACCAACTCCCCAGTTAAACCAACAATCAACTGGGGACACAGATAGAATGAGATGACAGAATAAAAGTGTTGCCTTAGCAAACAAACGTTTACTAGCGGATAAATCTTGCGAATCAATATGATATGGCGTCTCTACGCAGAGCGATAAATATGAGAATCCTTTATATTAAAAAAGATAAACTTTCACACAAATATACGAGACATTGTCCATAGATGGAAGGGCAATTTTAACCCATAACCCACAGAAACCTACAGTACAATAAAGTAGGATACTGTAATAAAATACAGACAGCGGAGATGAAATCTTTACTACTTGTAAGGGCTGTTGTAAAATAGATAAACCGAAGAACAGAAATGTCAGAAAAATATTGGTATTCTCTTCGATAAAACAACGTAGAATAGAGGAAAAAAATGAACGAATGTTTAGAAATAATGGATGAATATCGCATCCCGTCTCAAGGTTTAAATACAACCCTCGTTGAAGGAAAGATAGAGGACGATCCGGAAAGATACGGAATCATTAAAGCTCACTGAAGATGTGAGACTAGAACAGGCGAAACAGTACAGTGGAGAAGAAACTTAAAGAAACATGGTATAAGAATTCGGAATCCATTCATCTGACCCAGAATTGCGTCTATTTGTGAGCTTTTGTAAACATTATAATGTACCATCGGCTTCCATACAAAGAACCAGATTTATCTGATTAGGTCAGCAACATAACATATGAAAAAAAGTCTGCTTCACAGAGTTGCATATGGGGGAGGGTCCCAGTCCAGCCTGTATAAATAAAATCTCTCATCCCCATAACAATGCACACAATTCTTCCGTCCCTTACTGAAAGGGAATCTTTCGAATAATAGCCTAATAAGAAGCCAGGAATTGTTAAAACGGCGTAAAACAATATAGCACACGCATTCTGTTATTGACTGTATATTTTCAATTCACAAATGCTGACTTTCGAAGCTTAAAGGAAACGTGTACCAGGAGTCAGACGTTTTTAATTTTTATCTACGAATTTTGTTCAAAATATTTTTCGTTCCAATAAATATTTCGCTGTATGCCACGGTGGTCTAGCGGTTAGAACGCTGGCCTTGTAATCCTGGGGTCTCGGGTTCGATTCCCGGCGGTGCCCGAATTTATAACTTGTGTTGGGCAAAGGCCGTGGTCTAGGCAACACGGAGTTTTCCTCCGTAGCATCCCAACAATTACTCCATTCACACACAGAAGAAGGCAATGGCAAACCACTTCTGGATCATCTGCCAAGAACGTATATGAACAGGTCCCAGTCCGAGAAAAGGATGGAAGGATCCTGTTCATATGGACCTGACGTCAGACAGAACACTAAAATAAATAAATAATAAATAAAAATATTTCGCTACACAAATTTGAGATTCGGGTAGATCTCCATATGAAGATATTTGTCCTATTCTAATCGACACTGAAGTGTGTCGACAAATTTCCCGATACAAATTTTCACGAAAATACGTTCTATGGTCTCAAGTTGTTACATGATGACAGACAGACATACCGAGGCTAACCAGGGACCATTTGAAGCTAGCTCGCATCACTACGGATCACCTGTTAAACTCACAAATACAATTCCGTCACAGTCGGCCAACGCTCAGGAAATTCTGCATGTGTGTGTCTCACGCCACAGATGCGAAATGCACCGGCTATTCGCAAAAGGTCGAAGGCCAAATTTTAGCGAACGTGCCAGAAATGTTACCGCTGCGTCCACATGTTCCTCATTGCAATTTAGTTGAGAATAAAAGCTTAAAGCCGTCTCGCTCCATGAAGATTAGTGGAGGAGAATCAAAACTTCATGCCATCTTAACCTTGACATTAGCTGGAGGCGAGTGGTCGGCTGTTTGCCTCAGCCGTTTTACTGCAGAGACAAAAGGCCATTGATGGGTCCCTCCGCCTGTGTGTATGCGGTGGCGAAGGGAAAAATACCTCTTCTTAGCAGTAAATTCTCTCCCGTTCGTCCAGCCCGCCAGGTTAATGGAAGTGGTCTCGGGTCGAATTTGGCCCGAGAACTGCCCGTTGTGCCACGTTGACTTAAGCCATCACAATTCATATCTATTTGTAAGAATTTTCCAATTTGCAGCATCTTATATTCATAAAACAAATTTTAAATTCCAATCATTCATGTGAAACATAAATCCATGTTATTAAAAGTAAGAGTTTTTACTCATTATAAAGATATCTGCAAACATGAGTCTTGGTACCATAACAGGAGCAGAAACCAAAATGCAGTTGTGATACTCGACTTTGGAACAAACGAAATGCTGTGAAAGACACGCCCACTGCAGAGATTACCTTCAACTCCAAGAAGGGGATAATTATAATGTTCTCAGCAAGACCACTGTTAACCCAGCCCAAGTATGACAAACAGACTGTCTGCAAGTTTTATAAATTACACGTCCTCGGCTCATAATTTTGCAACGCTGTGCGACATTTCCAAAAAGTTGCAAATGAGATACGCTATATTCCAACCCTCCAACACCAGAAAATGAATGGAACTCCGAAGTAAAGTTGGTTAACACGAATAGCATCAAATGTGTCCACAGTTCAGAATAATAATACGTTAGGTTCAACACGTGGCCTAGGAGATTACAAATTTGTAACACGATAACCTTCTCCTTTCTAAGGCAGTGTTCAACAACCAGTGTGCCGTCGCAAGGTTTCAGGTTATAATTTAAAAAAGGCAAAATATTATCTTTCGCAACTAAAATTCGTAATATACACCCACGAACAGACACACATTGGTTCAACACCGATAGTTTTATTCAACATATGCTATGTTTTCTTTTCATATACCTGCATTCTAATGGAGGAAATATTTATATGAGGATAATATATTTATGGCAACATATAGTTTCGTACCCCGTCTTAGTAAGGCGATAGATGATAGTGGGTCAACAGATTCCCGTCTTTAATTAAACCCGAAGTTTCATAACCGTGGGTTCAAATAAGATGGCTGTTTTTTTATCTGGACACAAGTAAAAGCTATTGAAACACGTTGAAAATATTCACTGATTGTTGAGTGAACCATTTAAATGCTGAGGCTGATAAATTCAATCCACATTACACTTCTTTAAGATCCAGTTTAATATTATTCTCCCATCCATGCCTAGAACTTAGAAATGGTTTCGTAAATCCAGGCTTAAGGCAGGGAATATTTCTACCACGCGATCGACTAGCAGTCTCTCAAGAAACTCGGCTTTATGGCGTTAATTAGTTGGAAGCAAATGACATTCGTACTAAACCCAGTTATTCTATGCCCATACGGAAATGCCACCAAATGTGTCCGAGTACTAGCGAAAATATGGTCATAACCTATTCATCGGCACACCACATTCAAAGCAACATCCCATTGTTCGCGTGCAAGTATAGTTTTGAGGTCTAACACGGATTTAGACCGGCAGAGGATTAACTTGATATCGAAGGGCTGCAGAATCGATACTCGAACTACATATGCTGCACTGCGACACAGAGGGCTCTGCAGTTATTTAACACCAAAAAATAGCATGTAACTGCGACCAATCTACAAGACACATTTTAAAACAGGTGAACTTAGAAAACCGTTATAAAGTGAGTGGTGGACTCCGATACAAACACATTCAACCCTGTTCAATTTGCTCCAAGAATTAAATATTCAGAAATTCATAATTTTCTCTAACACAATAAGATAGCATGTGTTTAATTATTTATTAATGGTACATGTACTGAGACTTTATCGAAACATTTTAAGAACTGTAAAGGTTCATTCATACAACGTGTTATCTTCTCCCACCAAAACCTATACATACAGGTGGTGGTTAGTTGGTTCGTGATAGTTTTAATAACAATTTGTAATACATTACAGCGTATTATATATTTTAATGAAGCAAAGATAAGAAGACTAATTATTTTAATTTTCGAGTTTCCATATGTGTTATTTACATTCTGAAATTATTTAACTCAAATATGAACAAAAACGCGAAATCTGTACTGGGTTCATGAACTGCCCACGTGCGGGTCTTGGACTTCATGAAAGTAATTTTGGCACAGGCCTTTCTAGACCACTGAAGTGCGGGAACTTAGGATGTATGTATTTTATTTTGAAACTCTTATCGCATCTTGTAACTGACTGCGTGACGGTGAACAACCTGTAACGGTTTGCTCGATAGCTGATTCATCCGATAAATACTTCATAAATAGTGGAAACACGGCATGGTCTCGGCCCACTTTCAGGGTAGAGAGAGATACTGCTCCATACCTACACAGCCTGTTAATAAATAAGACTACCATTACGTATACCCTGCTCCAAAAACAGAAAAACGAATTTTTTAAAAAATACCTTATTCTATTGTGATATAATTTAAAGGAATGTTTTGATAGGAGCACAGCAAAACGAATATGCCTGAACCCCCAGATGATTTCTTACCTCTAGGATTTCCATTTTATACGCATTTCTCATCTTGCTACATGTCTGCTCCGCTCATTTTCCTTGATTTAATTTCCATAATAATATTTATTTAAGTAAACTTTCAACATGTCGGCATCCTAAAGGATGAACTTCATATGAAATGTGAAGGTACAAATATTTAGCCCACATACTAAACACAACATGTAAGTCTACAAAAATTAATTAGTACCATAAAATATAAAATACAAAATATAAAATATGTGTATTACAAAGAAAACAGAATCTCAACTAAAGTTAGGTACTACCTATTCCGCAGTTTCAAATACAGACTTTATTTTATTAGAGATTAAATTTCGATTCGGTATTAAAACATTACTGACCCACATTGCGATTTAAAACGTAACAAAAACATTTAAAAATACACACATGAAAAGTGCACACTTGAAAGCCATCAATAAAACGTCATCTCACATTACGATTGATAAATATAACAAAACACACACAAATGAGAAAACTTGTTATTCTGAATAAATGCAGAAAAAGTTACTTTTCCGTCACATGAATTTTATTGTCTGTCATTTTCTATCAGTGATTTTTCTTCTAAACTCTGATGTAATGCAGATCTGCAATGAGCATGTCAGAAGTCACGCATAAAGCCAGTTTTTAATCAACTTAAAAAATCCTTGTTGACTATCGTAGTTATTAGAGGGACAGGGACACACACACACACACAAATCTACACATCATCGCACTTGCAACAACAACTCACATCCCCAAGAAAGATCTTCCAACATTTCAGTTAATATTTTATGTACTAGAGAGCATTCAAGCCTAGTTTCCTTAATTTGAGAAATTATATGTTTTATTGTGAGGGCGGCGATATGGAAAACAAAACAAAATTTCTTGAGTAAAACTAAGTTGAATAGGAAAGTCCGCACGACCGTTACAACCCTGAAAAACAAACGTCGACAATGTAGGTTAAACATTCTAGCGTGTGCATTATCTTTATCTTATTAAGAATGCGAATTTATAAGATTTAATGTAAGTCTCACATATAAAATTAAGTACCAAATCGAAAACTTGCATGCTTTTGACAACTGCCTTGGTCTCGGTTATAAAGGAATATAAAATTACGATATGAAGATTGATTTCGACACGACATTTGTGGCATTTTGTTGAGATTAACCATCTCCGGTTTAGCCTACTTTCCTTTATTAAGGTAATAATCAAGCTTAAAGGACTGCCGTATCGCCTGTTCATATGTGTGTGCGTGCATGTGCGTGCCCCACTTCAACCCTCGAACCCACTCATCGATTATCACGAACTTAGGTAGGAACGGCACAATGACCTATAACAGGCCTAATAAGGGGGGCAACGAAAGTCCCATTTAATCTGAGTCCTAACATAATGAAGAGAAAAATAAAACTGTAAATCCTCTCTTGAAGTTTTCTTTAAAGAACATGGCGGCTGCATGAATTCCAGTCCCTGTGTACGAATTTATGTTTAATTACGATAACTAATAAACTAGGCGTTTAGAATTCCGTTTAGAGAAAGTACATACACATAGATACAAATAATGCATGAAATATTGTTTCCAAATCGACATTACACACATGGAGACAGTTAGAAACTCTGAAGTCATGTCAGACAATTTAACGTAGACAAAAATCTATACTTAATAGATTCTATCCAAGAAGAAAATTATAATATTGATTAACAACAATAAATTGATAACGTATTTAAAACCGTAAACAGTAAAAATAAGACTGAAAATGTGCAATCCTGGCCAAAACACGAAGTTTCCGAGTGTTCTTAGCAAATTTTCGGTTCTAAATACGTACCTCGTCTAACCAAACACTGCCTACCCTAACCTTTCTCAACCTACTCTAACCTAAGGTTACTATGGTTACCCTGATAACCTTTGATTTCATAGTTTTCTTGATTACCAAGGTTACCAAACAACGCCCAGCCTTAAAAAAACAAAAACGAATCGAACAGGACTGCATCGCGTGACCCACACACAAAAGAGTCCAAGACACTAAACCATAAACTAGCATTTAATTAGAAGATGGCTGTCTTTTGGGTTGGAGCTCCGTGTAGTCTGGCAGAATTTTATCAACATTTTAGAGGTTCTCTTTGCCTCCATCATCAGGGCGATAAGACAACCATTTTCATTAAAAAATTCGGATTATAGCAGGTACAAACGAACAGATGCCACATCATGTATCCTTCTACTATTTACCTGTTGCGCCAGGACTTGATAACTCGTAAACACAAGACAGATGCTATAATGTATTAAACAGTATATGGTTGCCTAGCGACGAAACACCTGTAGACTACATCGCTTTATGCATTATCGACCAGATAGAAAAGACGGAAAGAAACAAACCAAAGATGTTCATTTATATTTCATATATTAGGGTAAATATGAGTTAAGAGCCTTCATGGAAACGAATATAAACCACGTTTCTCGGAAAGATTTCAAAAAACTACGACAGCAGTGTACACAGCGGCAAGCAGGCGGGTCTCTCAATATTTCACTACTTCCTGATGATACTAACTTCTTCATATTTTGAGCTTCAAGAAGCATTTTTATTTCCCTTCCATAGTTTATGCCACGTCTACCAAAACCAATTATGACGGACCTGTCAATAAATTATCTGTCCATGCCTTTAAGGAATGTCTAAAAGTTTCAAAGGTTGAGATACAGAAAGTAATTACACACAAAAGGAAAGAATTTATTAATATAATTCCAGAATAAAATCTAACGAGCAAAAATATTTTCTACAGTGGTACAAACTATAATAAAATAAATATGATGCATTCCCTGTTCAAATTATTATTATAATTATTTTGTATTAATTTAATTTTGTCTTATTTTGTTCCTTATTAGTGTATTTTTGTGTTGTGCATTTGTATTAGTGTTTGCCTATTATAAACTCGTTGCTACTGGCAAACACTCTTATGAAAGAGATAAACTGAATTATTAATCAAGATCAAACAACCAATCGATTTACTACTGTCCCCTGGTAAATGAACTGTGGATATATTTTACATGTTACGTTTTTACACAGTTTAAAAAAAAAATCTGTCGAATACTTTTATAGGCTCAGTGGGTAAGTAAGAAAACGATACCACTAAATCACAGCGCAATGCAACTTTGGTGGTAACGTGAGAGAACCTAATTACCACCTTGCTGTTTCTCCCCTGGGCCGTGCGGTTAGTAACGCAAGTACAACTAGGCCATTCCATCGAACACGACACAGCACGCAAAGCTGCGATGTTACACCTCCGATAAGCCAATACATGCAGAACACCTGAACGTGACATTCATCCTAAGTTGCATACACGCCCGCAACACTTAACAGGAAACCCCCCGAGGTTCAAATATTCTCCTTAGTACTTACTCTCACTCAGTCTATGTTCTTCTGCACGACGACAGGCCACGTACCACACTCAAACAAAATAACGAGAGAAATGACAGATTTAAAATACTTATTTACCTTCTCTTAAATTATCCCTGAATGTAAATGTGATCCGTTGCTGTAGTTCCAAGAAAAAATAATTTTGCTACATTTTCGAAGCATATATAAACAATCCTGTCTTCCAGTCTGATGACGATACTTGATTATACAAAGTATCCCATAACTCCCTTACAACAGGCAAACCCTGTTATTTGGTAAAATACAGAAAAATGTTAAGTGGTAAAAGTTGCGTTTACAATATCAAATTTTGTAATTCTTTACCTACGATAAGCGGATATCTGATCCTACAAGGGATACCATCAGGAATGTAGAAGAGAGGAAGCTAAGAGTTGGATGGATGAAAGCAATCCAGAACACAGACAAGCAGAAGGAGGGCAGAGGATAAGTACAGAAGAATGGCGAATAGGAATGGGACGTCAGGAGACTCATACATACATACAAAGACAAGCTCATTCCAGTACATCCTTACATTTTGTGGACTTTCCTTAATGACGTATTTTAAAAACTTTCTCTTTGCTTCAAGAAGTAAAACTTTGGGAACCAATTTCCGGAAAAAGAAAAAATGCAGAATGAACAAGCATGAGACCGCAAACAATATTTCATACGCGCAAGTCTTCTAACGCAGCGTCTTAAGAAGCACTCTGCTTATTCAACGACGCTGTCAGTAACTCAGACTATATGGCGTTGAATGACAGGATGACTAACGAATTGGAAAGAATGTGGAAGGGAGCGGTCGTCACCTATTTTCGTATATCCTACTTGCCGGGAGAGAATGAGTAAAACCAAGAATTCCTTCAGGATTGCCAGTCTCCGGTACGAGATTGAACCCGTGACCTCCCGAATACGAAGCAGGAGTGACAACTACGAGGTAGCACTGTGTCCGATAGGGAGTGGACACTTAGTAACACGGACTATCCGTCTGTACACTGTTTATGGAGTACAAAATTGTGGCGGTTTTGTAGAGGACTGCGCTAGTTGTCTGGCTGATCTTTCTTGCTACTGTCGGTGAAATTACCCAGGAACAAAGGAGCGGATAGAAATTAGAGGCTGATGCAACGGGTTTCTGCCCCCCCCCCCCCCAAAAGAAAAAAAAAAAAAAAAAACCGGCTGACGTAGAAACCTGTGGAATGCAGACCATACATCTTTTCCATGCCTTGCAAACCAAAATACTGTTGCCAAGGTAACGAACGTGAAAGAAAGATAACTCTACCCACAGGCTAATTATTTTGGAACCTTAAAAGTGTAGTTACTCTATGGATATATTTATTTACTGTATAAGAATTCATATGTTTCTACGTGGTATTCGCCAATTATCATTTATGAACTTATTTTATTTATTTAGTGTTCTGTCTGACGACAGGTCCATATGAACAGGATCCTTCCATCCTTTTCTCGGACTGGGACCTGTTCATATACGTTCTTGGCAGATGATCCAGAAGTGGTTTGCCATTGCCTTCTTCTGTTTGTGAATGGAGTAATTGTTGGGATGCCACGGAGGAAAACTCCGTGTTGCCTAGACCACGGCCTTGCCCAACACAAGTTATAAATTCGGGCGCCGCCGGGAATCGAACCCGAGACCCCAGGATTATGAACTAGTACATACAAAATAGTCGGGCATCCGTTGTCCAAGGGTCTCGGGGGTTTAACACGGTTCTGCCTTCCCATTTCTGCGATGTACAGTAGACCCCAAAATTAAATATCCTTTTCGCCATCATTCGGTCAGTCAGACGACTGAAATTTGTGTACAAGAAGATTTATTCGTTTCCCAGTTCAATTCAAATCCGTCCAAACTTACTACTGTTTTAAAAGTCAGTCTTTTCAGCCACACTGTATACTCTGCGCTTTCAGAAGAGGGGTGCTTGTTATATCTAAGTTCAAGAACACTTTTTGCAATTAACCGTAGTTACATTGCAATTATGTGCCTGCATGGTTCCTCTTAGTTCTGTAGTGCATGTTTGTTACGTCTAAGAACACTCTCCCTCGGATTCTCATTAGGAAAGTGAACCCTTCAGTTGTAGAGAGACGTGGGGTCTGTGTTCACTACATATCACACGTGGGGGTTTGTGTTGCAATTTCAACCCATCTGTGGTGTGGTTTTAGTGGAATATCAAAGGAACAAGCCTACGCTAAAATTCGGATTGCGTCTGTAAAAACCAATACTGCTCTATTCTCGGCTCTCATTAAAACTTAAAAACTTTATATACGTTTTAACACAAAAGCGCGTTGGAAGAGCACGCTAAACTTTGTCACGTTAATTTAATTGTAGTTCGCGTCGGTCAAACACAGAGCCTCGATTCTATTTTACGTGGAGCTCTAATCGAACTTTATAGATTTTACCAGAAACGGAACACGTACAGAAAATAAAAAAGTTAAGTTAGATCTCGTGAAGATCTGTCTTCGACATTTCAGGTATTCGCCGGGCGGTTACAGAACAAAATTCAGCATCGTAACAATGAAATCACGACTCAGCACAACTTCAAAAGGGAAACTTGACATCGCCCGTATTTGTTACACCTCCGAGTCGTACATCAAGGACAATGTCAGGGTCCCCATTCGCCGTGTTTTTCAACCGGTTTCTGGCAAGTCAGCACCGGTAAGGGCACCGGAGTGCAGACCAAACCTGGCTATTTTAAAAACGTACGTGTTTTGGAACTGGAACGAGGAAAACAAAGTAGGTTTGATTTTTTTGGCTAACGTGATTACTGGATATGGGTATGTGGTGTCTGCCAGTACAGATTTACGATTTAAAATTACTCAGCGTGTGGGGTTAGCGCCAAAATACGAGAAACCCCGTGAAAAATAACAACACAGGATAAACAGAAATTATCAGAGAGGTTTCAAACATTTAACGAAACGTAATGACAAGCAGAAATTAATCTTACGTCGCTGGAAAGAGAACTTGATTTTTTTTTCTCGTAACATGTCAAAGAATCGACCGTTGTCATAGCAGTAAAATGGTGACTCAACCCGAGAAACAGTTTTATATATTCGTGTTCCATTCCACAAAATCTGTGACCACTGTTCAACGGAGTTTTCGGAGGAACTTCCATAAAGATCACAAGTGTACGAATTTAACTCGCCTTCTCGGACTGAATTATCATTTAACTATCATGTCAACACATGGGCTCCATGAGGCCATCTTTGAAATTACGTCATTTCTTCAGCATGCTACAAACGTTTTTAAAGTCGATATTTAGTTTTTCTCACATAAGTATTCGAAACTCTGAAAAAATGTGTCTTCATCTATATTCGACATTCCACTGCAATGAACACGTAGGAAGGACTTTCAGGAAAACATTATACGACCACATTCAGGAGACACGAGTCCAGTAGTAAACTTTCAGATCATCATTCTTATTTTATAACGATTACTAGAGAGAAAATTTGGTGTTATTTTGTTATTCCATATGATACAGTATATGGTGAGGCAAACATGTATATTTATCCAGTCCATTCGTTTACATTAAAATAACAGAATAAGGCTCTGTTCATTTACGCTATAAAAACCGAAATGCCTGGTTATAACAAAAATAACATGTGAATGTTTTTCGG